ACCAGGACTAAACCAGGTCTAAACCAGGACTAAACCAGGACTAAACCAGGACTAAACCAGGACTAAACCAGGACTAAACCAGGTCTAAACCAAGACTAAACCAGGTCTAAACCAGGACTAAACCAGGACTAAACCAGGACTGACCTGCTGCTTCACAGGAGAAGATTCCCAGAGCGTGAGTGTTATCAACCCACTTTATCTTCATCCCCCCATCACTGAAAAAACAACAAGGTTTAAAACAACGACAGGAGCAGACAGGAGCAGACAGGAGCAGGCAGGAGCAGACAGGAGCAGACAGGAGCAGACAGGAGCAGACAGGAGCAGGCAGGCAGCAGGAGCAGACAGGAGCAGGCAGGAGCAGCAGGAGCAGGCAGGAGCAGACAGGAGCAGGCAGGACAGAGCAGGCAGAGAGCAGGAGCAGCAGGAGCAGGCAGGAGCAGGCAGGAGCAGCAGGAGCAGCAGGAGCAGACAGGAGCAGACAGGAGCAGGCAGGAGCAGCAGGAGCAGCAGGAGCAGACAGGAGCAGGCAGGAGCAGGCAGGAGCAGCAGGAGCAGGCAGGAGCAGGCAGGAGCAGACAGGAGCAGGCAGGAGCAGACAGGAGCAGGCAGGAGCAGACAGGAGCAGGCAGGAGCAGGCAGGGAGCAGACAGGAGCAGGCAGGAGCAGACAGGCAGAGCAGGCAGGAGCAGCAGGAGCAGGCAGGAGCAGGCAGGAGCAGACAGGAGCAGGCAGGAGCAGCACCTGTACTGGGTGAAGGCGTCCAGCAGGTCTTGGGTCTGGAAAAGCGGCGGGAAGTCGTAGATCTCGATGACGTGAGCGAACGCCTCAGCGCAGAACGACACCGACTCAAAAGACGAGAAGTCACCGAGTACAGAGCCCAGGCCAAAAGCCACGCCCGCCTTCAGGTGGGCGCGCACCTGTCAACACGACACACACCTGACAACACACGCCAAAAGCCACGCCCGCCTTCAGGTGGCGCGCACACCTGACACACACCTGACACACACACCTGACACACACTGACACACACCTGACACAACACACTGACACACGACACACACCTGACAACACACACACACCTGACACACGACACACACCTGACACACACCTGACACACACACACGACACACACCTGACAACACACGACACACACCTGACAACACACGACACACACCTGACAACACACGACACACACCTGACAACACACGACACACACCTGACAACACACGACACACACCTGACAACACACGACACACACCTGACAACACACGACACACACCTGACAACACACGACACACACCTGACAACACATGACACACACCTGACGACACGACAGGGAGAGTGCCTGACACACACTGACAACACAGGACACACACTGAGGGTACAGGAGGATGGGAGGGCAATAAAAACCAGGACTAAACCAGGACTAAACCAGGTCTAAACCAGGTCTAAACCAGGTCTAAACCAGGTCTGGACCATGAGACACGTGGGGGGGTAGAAGAGTGTGGGAGGGCATCTGGTTCTTACCTCTTGGCTGATTTCCTCTGAGTCTGAGTCGACTCCAGGGTTTTCACACTCACAGCTCAGACGCACCGAGTCCAAGGCCAAGTCCAAGGCCGAGTCCAAGGTCGAGTCCGGCCGAGTCCAAGGCCGAGTCCAAGGCCGAGTTCAAGGTCGAGTCCGGGGCCGAGTCCAAGGCCGAGTCCAAGGCCGAGTTCAAGGCCGAGTCCAAGGTCGAGTCCGGGGCCGAGTCCAAGGTCGAGTCCAAGGCCGAGTCCAAGGCCGAGTCCGGGGTCGAGTCAGGGACAGTCCAGTCTCTGGTCTCTGTCCTCAAAATGTCCTTGTCCCACACTTTCTGTTCGGCTCCGTTCAGCCGGGTCCTGTCCTCCTCCTCCTTCTTCTCCTCCTCCTTCTTCTCCTCCTCCTTCTTCTCCTCCTCCTGTCCTCTGTTCCTCCCTCTCTCTTCCTCCTCCTCTGGGGGGTCTGCACTTTTCTCTCGGTTTAAAGTCCAGTCCAGGTTAGAGTTCACATCTCTGGCTTCAGTCCTCTTCTCCTCCTCCCTCCCTCCTCTGTCCTCTCTCTGTCTCTCCCTCACTCCTACCTCCTTCACTCCTCCTCTCTGCTCCTCTCTCTCTCCTCCCCCTCTTCCTCTCGTCCTCTGCTCCTCCTCCTCCTCCTCCCTCTCTCCTCCTCGTCCTCTTCCTCTTGTCCTCTGCTCCTCCTCCTCCCTCTCTCCTCCTCGTCCTCCCCCTCTTCCTCTCGTCCTCTGCTCCTCCTCCTCCCTCTCTCCTCCTCGTCCTCCCCCTCTTCCTCTCGTCCTCTGCTCCTCCTCCTCCTCCTCCCTCTCTCCTCCTCGTCCTCCCCCTCTTCCTCTCGTCCTCTGCTCCTCCTCCTCCCTCTCTCCTCCTCGTCCTCCCCCTCTTCCTCTCGTCCTCTGTCTCTCCCTCAGCGCTCGGGGGAGGTACAGAGGTTGGTCGGGTCTTTTCTTTGTTCTGTTTTTCTCTTCTTTCGTTCTTTTGGGCGTCGATTCTTTCCGTTTCTCTTCTTCGTGCAAAACGTCGCTCTTCTCCAGATCAGCGTCGTCCTTCACCTCCCCCCTGACGACAAACACACACACACACACTCAACTTTTATGTGTCAAAATGTGTGTAAAGGTGTGTAAATGTGTGCGTAAATGTGTAAGTGTGTGTAAATGTGTGTAAATGTGTAAGTGTGTGTAAATGTGCGTAAATGTGTAAGTGTGTGTAAATGTGTGTGTGTGTGTAAAGGTGTCTAAGTGTGTGTAAATGTGTGTAAATGTGTAAGTGTGTGTAAATGTGTGTAAATGTGTAAGTGTGTGTGTAAATGTGTGTGTAAATGTGTAAGTGTGTCTAAATGTGTGTAAGTGTGTCTAAATGTGTGTAAGTGTGTCTAAATGTGTGTAAGTGTGTGTAAAGTGTGTGTGTGTAAAGGTGTGTAAATGTGTGCGTAAATGTGTAAGTGTGTGTAAATGTGTGTGTGTGTAAATGTGTGTAAGTGTGTGTAAAGTGTGTGTAAAGTGTGTGTAAAGGTGTGTAAATGTGTGTGTAAATGTGTGTAAGTGTGTGTAAAGGCGTGTAAGTGTGTGTAAAGGTGTGTAAATGTGTGTGTAAATGTGTGTAAAGGTGTGTAAGTGTGTGTGTAATTTGCATAACATTAGTTTAGTTGAGTGTGTGACTGATGTCTTGTTGTTGTTTTACTTTAAGTTTTTGTCACACATTTACACACACATTTACACACAAACATTTACACACAAACATTTACACAAACATTTACACACAAACATTTACACACAAACATTTACACAAACATTTACACACACATTTACACACACATTTACACACACACATTTACACACACATTTACACACACATTTACACAAACATTTACACACACATTTACACACAAACATTTACACACACATTTACACACAAACATTTACACACAACACATTTACACACACATTTACACACAAACATTTACACACACATTTACACACAAACATTTACACACACATTTACACAAACATTTACACACACATTTACACACACATTTACACAAACATTTACACACACATTTACACACAAACATTTACACACACATTTACACAAACATTTACACACACATTTACACACACACATTTACACAAAAACATTTACACACACATTTATACACACATTTACACACAAATATTTACACACAAATACTTACACACACATTTACTCAGTAAAACATTAACTGGAAGTTCAGTAAAACTACAGTGTGACTTTTCAGCTGATGTGAAAAAACTCCATAATCTCCTATGTAAACAACACGGCTAATACTAACTCTGAGACCCCGTTCACACTAGTGTGTATGTGAGTGGTTGTTTCACACTAGTGTGTATGTGAGTGGTTGGTTCACACTAGTGTGTATGTTGGTCCAGATGTGATGGGGACTGTGTGAAAACTCTGATACTCTGATGTGTGTCTGTCACCGCCGACTCATTCACCACAAAACACTAAGACACACAATATGTGTCCATTCACATAAACGTGTGTCTGTGTGCACCACCTGCACACGTATAATGTGTGAAAAGTTTCACATGAACCAACAACACGACACAAACACAGAACAGACTGAGCATCAGCAGAACATCCCTCTGTCACAGAGAGAACACCCCTCTGTCACAGAGAGAACACCCCTCTGTCACACAGAGAGAACACCCCTCTGACACAGAGAGAACACCCCTCTGTCACAGAGAGAACACCCCTCTGACACAGAGAGAACACCCCTCTGTCACACAGAGAGAACACCCCTCTGACACAGAGAGAACACCCCTCTGTCACACAGAGAGAACACCCCTCTGTCACAGAGAGAACACCCCTCTGTCACAGAGAGAACACCCCTCTGACACAGAGAGAACACCCCTCTGACACAGAGAGAGAACACCCCTCTGTCACAGAGAGAACACCCCTCTGTCACAGAGAGAACACCCCTCTGTCACACAGAGAGAACACCCCTCTGACACAGAGAGAACACCCCTCTGACACAGAGAGAGAACACCCCTCTGTCACAGAGAGAACACCCCTCTGTCACAGAGAGAACACCCCTCTGACACACAGAGAGAACACCCTCTGTCACACAGAGAGAACACCCCTCTGTCACAGAGAGAACACCCTCTGTCACAGAGAGAACACCCTCTGTCACACAGAGAGAACACCCCTCTGACACAGAGAGAACACCCCTCTGTCACACAGAGAGAGAACACCCTCTGTCACAGAGAGAACACCCCTCTGACACAGAGAGAACACCCCTCTGACACAGAGAGAGAACACCCTCTGTCACAGAGAGAACACCCCTCTGACACAGAGAGAACACCCTCTGACACAGAAGAACACCCCTCTGACACACAGAGAGAACACCCCTCTGACACAGAGAGAACACCCCTCTGACACAGAGAGAGAACACCCCTCTGTCACAGAGAGAACACCCCTCTGACACACAGAGAGAACACCCCTCTGTCACAGAGAGAACACCCCTCTGACACAGAGAGAACACCCCTCTGACACACAGAGAGAACACCCCTCTGTCACAGAGAGAACACCCCTCTGACACAGAGAGAACACCCCTCTGACACAGAGAGAACACCCCTCTGACACAGAGAACACCCCTCTGACACAGAGAGAACACCCTCTGTCACAGAGAGAACACCCCTCTGACACAGAGACACAGAGAGAAACACCCTCTGACACAGAGAGAACACCCCTCTGTCACAGAGAGAACACCCCTCTGACACACAGAGAGAACACCCTCTGAGAACCCTCTGACACAGAGAGAACACCCCTCTGACACAGAGAGAACACCCTCTGACACAGAGAGAACACCCCTCTGTCACAGAGAGAGAACACCCCTCTGTCACAGAGAGAACACCCCTCTGACACACAGAGAGAACACCCCTCTCACAGAGAGACACAGAGAGAACACCCCTCTGACACAGAGAGAACACCCCTCTGACACAGAGAGAACACCCCTCTGACACAGAGAGAGAACACACAGAGAGAACACCCCTCTGTCACAGAGAGAACACCCCTCTGACACAGAGAGAACACCCCTCTGTCACACAGAGAGAGAACACCCCTCTGACACAGAGAGAACACCCCTCTGACACAGAGAGAACACCCTCTGTCACACAGAGAACACCCCTCTGACACACAGAGAGAACACCCCTCTGACACAGAGAGAACACCCCTCTGTCACACAGAGAGAACACCCCTCTGTCACACACAGAGAGAACACCCCTCTGACACAGAGAGAACACCCCTCTGTCACACAGAGAGAACACCCCTCTGACACAGAGAGAACACCCCTCTGACACAGAGAGAACACCCTCTGTCACAGAGAGAACACCCCTCTGTCACACAGAGAGAACACCCCTCTGTCACAGAGAGAACACCCCTCTGACACAGAGAGAACACCCCTCTGTCACACAGAGAGAACACCCCTCTGTCACAGAGAGAACACCCCTCTGTCACACAGAGAGAACACCCCTCTGTCACAGAGAGAACACCCCTCTGTCACAGAGAGAACACCCCTCTGTCACACAGAGAGAACACCCCTCTGACACAGAGAGAACACCCCTCTGACACAGAGAGAACACCCCTCTGACACAGAGAGAACACCCCTCTGTCACACAGAGAGAGAACACCCCTCTGACACAGAGAGAACACCCCTCTGTGACACAGAGAGAACACCCCTCTGACACACAGAGAGAACACCCCTCTGACCACAGAGAGAACACCCCTCTGTCACACACAGAGAGAACACCCCTCTGAACACACAGAGAGAACACCCCTCTGACACAGAGAGAACCCCTCTGACACAGAGAACACCCCTCTGACACACAGAGAGAACACCCTCCCTCTGACACAGAGAGAACACCCCTCTGTCACAGAGAGAGAACACCCTCTGTCACACAGAGAGAACACCCCTCTGTCACAGAGAGAACACCCTCTGACACAGAGAGAACACCCCTCTGTCACACAGAGAGAGAGAACACCCCTCTGTCACAGAGAGAGAACACCCTCTGTCACAGAGAGAACACCCCTCTGTCACACAGAGAGAACACCCCTCTGACACAGAGAGAACACCCTCTGACACACCCTCTGACACAGAGAGAACACCCCTCTGTCACAGAGAGAACACCCTCTCTCAGAGACACTCACAGAGAGAACACCCCTCTGTCACAGAGAGAACACCCCTCTGACACAGAGAGAGAACACCCCTCTGTCACAGAGAGAACACCCCTCTGTCACACAGAGAGAACACCCCTCTGACACAGAGAGAACACCCCTCTGACACAGAGAGACACCCCTCTGACACAGAGAGAACACCCCTCTGTCACAGAGAGAACACTGAGAGAACACCCCTCTGACACAGAGAGAACACCCCTCTGACACAGAGAGAACACCCCTCTGTCACAGAGAGAACACCCCTCTGAGAGACACCCTCTCACAGAGAGAACACCCCTCTGTCTGACACAGAGAGAAACACCCCTCTGACACAGAGAGAACACCCCTCTGTCACACAGAGAGACACCCCTCTGTCACAGAGAGAACAACCCCTCTGACACACAGAGAGAACACCCCTCTGTCACAGAGAGAACACCCCTCTGACACAGAGAGAACACCCCTCTGACACAGAGAGAACACCCCTCTGTCACAGAGAGAACACCCCTCTATCACAGAGAGAGAGAACACCCCTCTGACACAGAGAGAACACCCCTCTGTCACAGAGAGAGAACACCCCTCTGACACAGAGAGAACACCCCTCTGTCACACAGAGAGAACACCCCTCTGTCACAGACAGGGGTTGGTGTTACATTCACACGTTGTTTCTGTGTCGGTGACTTTTCTCTCTCCCGACACTGAGCACATTTGTGTTTCTGTTTGACACAAATTAAACATTAAATCACATGACTCATTTACATAAACTAATGTGTGTGAAAAAACAGTTGTTTCTTGTGTCTGATGTGGTTCAGTTTGTGTTGGACTCAGTGGACAATGGTGTTTCTCTCTGTGGAGGGGTGTTCTCTCTGTGTGAGAGGGGTGTTCTCTCTGTGTCAGAGGGGTGTTCTCTCTGTGTCAGAGGGGTGTTCTCTCTGTGTGACAGAGGGGTGTTCTCTCTGTGACAGAGGGGTGTTCTCTCTCTGTGTGACAGAGGGGTGTTCTCTCTGTGTGTCAGAGGGGTGTGTGTCTCTCTGTGACAGAGGGGTGTTCTCTCTGTGTGTGACAGAGGGGTGTTCTCTCTGTGTCAGAGGGTGTGTTCTCTCTGTGTCAGAGGGGTGTTCTCTCTGTGACAGAGGGGTGTTCTCTCTGTGTGTCAGAGGGTGTTCTCTCTGTGTCAGAGGGGTGTTCTCTCTCTGTGTGTCAGAGGGGTGTTCTCTCTGTGACAGAGGGGTGTTCTCTCTGTGTGTGACAGAGGGGTGTTCTCTCTGTGTGTGACAGAGGGGTGTTTCTCTCTGTGTGTCAGAGGGGTGTTCTCTCTGTGTCAGAGGGGTGTTCTCTCTGTGACAGAGGGGTGTTCTCTCTGTGACAGAGGGGGTGTTCTCTCTGTGTGACAGAGGGGTGTTCTCTCTGTGTGTCAGAGGGGTGTGTCAGAGGGGTGTTCTCTCTGTGACAGAGGGGTGTTCTCTCTGTGTGACAGAGGGGTGTTCTCTCTGTGTGTCAGAGGGGTGTTCTCTCTGTGTCAGAGGGGTGTTCTCTCTGTGACAGAGGGGTGTTCTCTCTGTGTGTCAGAGGGGTGTTCTCTCTGTGTCAGAGGGGTGTTCTCTCTGTGTCAGAGGGGTGTTCTCTCTGTGTCAGAGGGTGTTCTCTCTGTGACAGAGGGGTGTTTCTCTCTGTGTTTCTCTCTGTCAGAGGGTGTTCTCTCTGTCAGAGGGGTGTTCTCTCTGTGTCAGAGGGGTGTTCTCTCTGTGTGTCAGAGGGGTGTTTCTCTCTGTGTGACAGAGGGGTGTTCTCTCTGTGTCAGAGGGTGTTCTCTCTGTGTGACAGAGGGGTGTTCTCTCTGTGACAGAGGGGTGTTCTCTCTGTGTCAGAGGTGTTCTCTCTGTGTCAGAGGGGTGTTCTCTCTGTGTGTCAGAGGGGTGTTCTCTCTGTGTGTGACAGAGGGGTGTTCTCTCTGTGTGACAGAGGGGTGTTCTCTCTGTCAGAGGGGTGTTCTCTCTGTGACAGAGGGTGTTCTCTCTCTGTGTCAGAGGGGTGTTCTCTCTGTGTGTCAGAGGGGTGTTCTCTCTGTGTCAGAGGGGTGTTCTCTCTGTGACAGAGGGGTGTTCTCTCTGTGTCAGAGGGGTGTTCTCTCTGTGTGTCAGAGGGGTGTTCTCTCTGTGACAGAGGGGTGTTCTCTCTGTGTGTCAGAGGGGTGTTCTCTCTGTGTGTCAGAGGGGTGTTCTCTCTGTGTGTCAGAGGGGTGTTCTCTCTGTGTGTCAGAGGGGTGTTCTCTCTGTGACAGAGGGGTGTTCTCTCTGTGTGACAGAGGGGTGTTCTCTCTGTGTGTCAGAGGGGTGTTCTCTCTGTGACAGAGGGGTGTTCTCTCTGTGTGTCAGAGGGGTGTTCTCTCTGTGTCAGAGGGGTGTTCTCTCTGTGACAGAGGGGTGTTCTCTCTGTGTGACAGAGGGGTGTTCTCTCTGTGTGTCAGAGGGGTGTTCTCTCTGTGTGTGACAGAGGGGTGTTCTCTCTGTGTGACAGAGGGGTGTTTCTCTCTGTGACAGAGGGGTGTTCTCTCTGTGTGTCAGAGGGGTGTTCTCTCTGCTGTGACAGAGGGGTGTTCTCTCTGTGTCAGAGGGGTGTTCTCTCTGTGTGACAGAGGGGGTGTTCTCTCTGTGTGTCAGAGGGGTGTTCTCTCTGTGACAGAGGGGTGTTCTCTCTGTGACAGAGGTGTTCTCTCAGAGGGGTGTTCTCTCTGTGACAGAGGGGTGTTCTCTCTGTGTGACAGAGGGGTGTTCTCTCTGTGTCAGAGGGGTGTTCTCTCTGTGTGACAGAGGGGTGTTCTCTCTGTGTCAGAGGGGTGTTCTCTCTGTGTGACAGAGGGGTGTTCTCTCTGTGTCAGAGGGATGTTCTGCTGATGTTCAGTCTGTTCTGTGTTTGTGTCGTGTTGTTGGTTCATGTGAAACTTTTCACACATTATACGTGTGCAGGTGGTGCACACAGACACACGTTTATGTGAATGGACACATATTGTGTGTCTTAGTGTTTTGTGGTGACAGACACACATCAGAGTATCAGAGTTTTCACACAGTCCCCATCACATCTGGACCAACATACACACTAGTGTGAAGAGGGCCTAAGGAGTGTGTGTCTTTAGAGTTTGTGGTTCCAGTTTTACCTGATGTGGCAGAAACACACAGCGACTCTCCTCAACAGATCCTCCCCCACAGAGAAGGAGCAGAGCTCAGGACGATCCTCCACCGTCCTGTGGGTGAGATAACGCCACCTGCTGGACAGAGGGGGGAACAGCAGCACCCTGCACACACGGACACAACACACAACACACACACACACAACAGAGAACACACAACACACAACACACAACAGAGAACACACAACACACAACACACACAGAGAACAGAGAACACACAACACACAACAGAGAACACACAGAGAACACACAACACACAACAGAGAACACACAACACACAACAGAGAACACACAACACACAACAGACAACACACAACAGAGAACACAGAACAACACACAACACACAACAGAGAACACACAGAGAACACACAACACACAACACACAACAGAGAACACACAACAGAGAACACAACAGAGAACACACACAACACACACACACAGAGAACACACAAACACAACAGAGCACAACACACACACAACACACAACAGAGAACACACAACAACAGAGAACACACGGAACAGAGAACACACAACACACAACACACAACAGAGAACACAACAGAGACACAACACAACACACAACAACACACAACACAAAACACACAACAGAGAACACACAACACACAACACACTGCGTTAGACAAAATTGTGTGTGATGAACGATCATGTTCTAATGATTTATGGAAACATTTAATAAAAACCCCAGCAGAGGGCGCAGGAGCAGAGCTGCAGAACACTGAGGAAGTAGAACAACTATGGAACACTTTAAATCAGGCTAAAAACAGTCGCTCCCGTCTGAGCACAACGAGTTCACAGACCAGAACCAGAGTCCAGACAGAAACTCCATCCTCCTGATCCTCTAGAACCACACACACCTGATCCTCTAGAACACACACACACACCTGATCCTCTAGCCACCTGACCTAGATCCTCTAGAACCACACACACCTGATCCTCTAACCACACACACCTGATCCTCTAGAACCACACACACCTGATCCTCTAGAACCACACACACACCTGATCCTCTAGAACACACACACACCTGATCCTCTAGACACACACACCTGATCCTCTAAACACACACACACTGATCCCACACACACCTGATCCTCTAGAACCACACACACACCTGATCCTCTAGAACCACACACACCTGATCCTCTAGAACCACACACACCTGTTCCTCTAGAACCACACACACCTGATCCTCTAGAACCACACACACCTGATCCTCTAGAACCACACACACACCTGATCCTCTAGAACCACACACACCTGATCCTCTAGAACCACACACACACCTGATCCTCTAGAACCACACACACACCTGATCCTCTAGAACCACACACACCTGATCCTCTAGAACCACACACACACCTGATCCTCTAGAACCAGAACACACACACCTGATCCTCTAGACAACCACACACACACCTGATCCTCTAGAACCACACAACCTGTTCCCTAGAACACACACCTGATCCTCTAGAACCACACACCTGATCCCCTAGACACCACCTGATCCCGACACACCCTCTAGAACACACACACAACCACACACACCTGATCCTCTAGAACACACACACCTGATCCTCTAGACACACACACTAGAACCACACACACCTGATCCTCTAGAACCACACACACCTGATCCTCTAGAACACACACCTGATCCTCTAGAACACACACACCTGATCCTCTAGAACCACACACACCACACACACACCTGATCCTCTAGAACCACACACACCTGATCCTCTAGACACACACACACACCTGATCCTCTAGAACCACACACACCCTGATCCTCTAGAACCACACACACCTGATCCTCTAGAACCACACACACCTGATCCTCTAGAACCACACACCACCTTGATCCCCTAGAACCACACACACCTGATCCTCTAGACCACCTGATCCTCCTAGAACCACACACACCTGATCCTCTAGAACCACACACACCTGATCCTCTAGAACCACACACACCTGATCCCCTAGAACCACACACACTGACCCCTCTCTAGAACACACACACCTGATCCTCTAGAACCACACACACCTGATCCTCTAGAACCACACACACCTGATCCTCTAGAACCACACACACCTGATCCTCTAGAACCACACCACACACCTGATCCTCTAGAACCACACACACCTGATCCTCTAGAACCACACACACCTGATCCTCTAGAACCACACACACACCTGATCCTCTAGAACCACACACACCTGATCCTCTAGAACCACACACACCTGATCCTCTAGAACCACACACACACCTGATCCTCTAGAACCACACACACACCTGATCCTCTAGAACACACACACACCTGATCCTCTAGAACCACACACACCTGATCCTCTAGAACCACACACACACCTGATCCTCTAGAACCACACACACCTGTTCCTCTAGAACCACACACACCTGATCCTCTAGAACACACACACACCTGATCCTCTAGAACCACACACACACCTGATCCTCTAGAACCACACACACACCTGATCCTCTAGAACCACACACACACCTGATCCTCTAGAACCACACACACACCTGATCCTCTAGAACCACACACACACACCTGATCCTCTAGAACCACACACACACACCTGAACACACACACCGATCCTCTAGAACCACACACACACTCTGATCCTCTAGAACCACACCCCACACACCTGATCCTCTAGAACCACACACACCTGATCCTCTAGAATCCTCTAGAACCACACACACCTGTTCCTCTAGAACCCACACACACCTGATCCTCTAGAACCACACACACACCTGATCCTCTAGAAACACACACACACCTGTTCCTCTAGACCACACACACACACCTGATCCTCTAGAACCACACACACCTGATCCTCTAGAACACACACACACACCTGATCCTCTACCTGATCCTCTAGAACACACACACCTGATCCTCTAGAACCACACACACCTGATCCTCTAGAACCACACACACACCTGATCCTCTGATCCTCTAGAAACACACACACCTGATCCTCTAGAACCACACACACTGATCCTCTAGAACCACACACACCTGATCCTCTAGAACACACACACACACCACCACACACCTGATCCTCTAGAACCACACACACACCTGATCCTCTAGAACCACACACACCTGATCCTCTAGAACACACACACCTGATCCTCTAGCACACCTGATCCTCTAGAACCACACACACACCTGATCCTCTAGAACCACACACACCTGACCACACACACACCTGATCCTCTAGAACCACACACACCTGATCCTCTAGAACCACACACACCTGATCCTCTAGAACCACCACACACACCTGATCCTCTAGAACCCACACACCTGATCCTCTAGAACCACACACACACCTGATCCTCTAGAACCACACACACCTGATCCTCTAGAACCACACACACCTGTTCCTCTAGAACCCCACACACCTGATCCTCTAGAACCACACACACACCTGATCCTCTAGAACACACACACACCTGATCCTCTAGAACCACACACACACACACCTTCCTCTAGAACCACACACACCTGATCCTCTAGAACCACACACACACCTGATCCTCTAGAACACACACACACCTGATCCTCTAGAACCACACACACCTGATCCCTAGACTAGAACCACACACACACCTGATCCTCTAGAAACCACACACACTGATCCTCTAGAACCACACACTGATCCTCTAGAACACACACCACTCTAGACACACACACACCTGATCCTCTAGAACCACACACACACCTGACCACACAACCCTACACCACACACCTGATCCTCTAGAACACACACACACCTGATCCTCTAGAACCACACACACACCTGATCCTCTAGAACACACACACACCTGATCCTCTAGAACCACACACACACCTGATCCTCTAGAACCACACACACTCTACACACTTCCTCTAGAACCACACACACACCTGATCCTCTAGAACCACACACACACCTGATCCTCTAGAGATCTAGACCACACACACACCTGATCCTCTAGAACACACACCACCTGACACACACCTGATCCTCTAGAACCACACACACACCTGATCCTCTAGAACCACACACACCTGATCCTCTAGAACCACACACACACCTGATCCTCTAGAACCACACACACACCTGATCCTCTAGAACCACACACACCTGATCCTCTAGAACCACACACACCTGATCCTCTAGAACCACACACACCTGATCCTCTAGAACCACACACACACCTGATCCTCTAGACAACCACCACACACACCTGATCCTCTAGAACCACACACAACTCTAGAACCACACACACCTGATCCTCTAGAACCACACACACACCTGATCCTCTAGAACCACACACACACCTGATCCTCTAGACCACACAACACACACACACACCTGATCCTCTAGAACCACACACACCTGATCCTCTAGAACACACACACCCTGTTCCTCTAGAACCACACACACCTGATCCTCTATAACAACCACACACACACCTGATCCTCTAGACCTGATCCACACACACACCTGATCCTCTAGAACCACACACACACCTGATCCTCTAGAACCACACACACACCTGATCCTCTAGAACCACACACACTCCCACACACACCTGCTCTAGAACCACACACACCTGATCCTCTAGAACCACACACACCTGATCCTCTAGAACCACACACACCTGATCCTCTAGAACCACACACACACCTGATCCTCTAGAACCACACACACACCTGATCTTCTAGAACCACACACACCTGATCCTCTAGAACCACACACACCTGATCCTCTAGAACACCACACACACCTGATCCTCTAGAACCACACACACCTGATCCTCTAGAACCACACACACCTGACACCACACCTGATCCTCTAGAACCCACACACCACACCTGATCCTCTAGAACCACACACACCTGATCCTCTAGAACCACACACACCTGATCCTCTAGAACCACACACACACCTGATCCTCTAGAACCACACACACCTGAAGAACCACACACACCAGAACCACACACACACTGATCCTCTAGAACCACACACACACCTGATCCTCTAGAACCACACACACACCTGATCCTCTAGAACCACACACACACCTGATCCTCTAGAACCACACACACACTGATTCCTCTAGAACCACACACACACCTGATCCTCTAGAACCACACACACCTGATCCTCTAGAACCACACACACCTGATCCTCTAGAACCACACACACACCTGATCCTCTAGAACCACACACACACCTGATCCTCTAGAACCACACACACACTGATCCTCTAGAACCACACACACACCTGATCCTCTAGAACCACACACCTGATCCTCTAGAACCACACACACCTGATCCTCTAGAACCACACACACCTGATCCTCTAGAACCACACACACCTGATCCTCTAGAACCACACACACACCTGATCCTCTAGAACCACACACACCTGATCCTAGAACCACACACACCTGAGAACCACACACACCTGATCCTCTAGAACCACACACACACCTGATCCTCTAGAACCACACCACACACACACCTGATCCTCTAGAACACACACACACCTGATCCTCTAGAACCACACACACACACACACACCTGATCCTCTAGAAACCACACACACCTGATCCTCTAGAACCCCACACCTGATCCTCTAGAACCACACACACACCTGATCCTCTAGAACCACACACACACCTGTTCCTCTAGAACCACACACACCTGATCCTCTAGAACCACACACACACCTGATCCTCTAGAACCACACACACCTGATCCTCTAGACTCTAGAACCACACACACATGATCCTAGAACCACACACACCTGATCCTCTAGAACCACACACACACCTGATCCTCTAGAACCACACACACACCTGATCCTCTAGAACCACACACACACCTGATCCTCTAGAACCACACACACACCTGATCCTCTAGAACCACACACCTGATCCTCTAGATCCTCTAGAACCACACACACCTGATCCTCTAGAACCACACACACCTGATCCTCTAGAACCACACACACCTGATCCTAGATGATCCTCTAGAACCACACACACACCTGATCCTCTAGAACCACACACACCTGACCTCTGATCCTCTAGAACCACACACACACCTGATCCTCTAGAACCACACACACCTGTTCTCTCCTGATCCTCTAGAACCACACACACACCTGATCCTCTAGAACCACACACACACCTGATCCTCCTCTAGAACACACACACCTCTAGAACCACACACACACACACTGATCCTCTAGAACCACACACACCTGATCCTCTAGAACCACACACACACCTGATCCTCTAGAACCACACACACCTGATCCTCTAGAACCACACACACACCTGATCCTCTAGAACCACACACACACCTGATCCTCTAGAACCACACACACACCTGATCCTCTAGAACCACACACACCTGATCCTGATCCTCTAGAACCACACACACACCTGATCCTCTAGAACCACACACACCTGATCCTCTAGAACCACACACACACCTGTTCCTCTAGAACCACACACACCTGATCCTCTAGAACCACACACACCTGATCCTCTAGAACCACACACACCTGATCCTCTAGAACCACACACACACCTGATCCTCTAGAAACCACACACACACCTGATTCCTCTAGAACCACACACACACTGATCCTCTAGAACCACACACACACCTGATCCTCTAGAACCACACACACACCTGATCCTCTAGAACTAGAACCACACACACACCTCTAGATCCTCTAGAACCACACACACACCTGATCCTCTAGAACCACACACACCTGATCCTCTAGAACCACACATGATCCTCTAGAACCACACACACACCTGATGATCCTCTAGAACCACACACACACCTGATCCTCTAGAACCACACACACACCTGATCCTCTAGAACCACACACACACCTGATCCTCTAGAACCACACACACCTGATCCTCTAGAACCACACACACACACCTGATCCTCTAGAACCACACACACCTGATCCTCTAGAACCACACACACACCTGATCCTCTAGAACCACACACACACCTGATCCTCTAGAACCACACACACACCACCTCTACACACACTGATCCTCTAGAACCACACACACACCTGATCCTCTAGAACCACACACACCCTGACACCACTAGAACCACACACACACCTGATCCTCTAGAACCACACACACACCTGATCCTCTAGAACCACACACACACCTGTTCCTCTAGAACCACACACACCTGATCCTCTAGAACCACACACACACCTGATCCTCTAGAACCACACACACCCTGATCCTCTAGAACACACACCACACACCTGATCCTCTAGAACCACACACACACCTGATTCCTCTAGAACCACACACACCTGATCCTCTAGAACCACACACACACCTGATCCTCTAGAACCCCACACACCTGATCCTCTAGAACCACACACACACCTGATCTTCTAGAACCACACACACCTGTTCCTCTGTTCCTCCTGCTCAAAGGCGTCGAGTTCCTCCAGGACCAGATGCACAAACTCGCTCTCGTGTTT